GGTCAAGAGGCTTTCTGGTGATTGTGGTCAGATGGAACGTGAATTCAGAGCCGAAGTTGAAGCTCTTTCAAGAGCTCAGCACAAGAACCTTGTTTCTCTTCAAGGGTATTGTAAGCATGGTAATGATAGATTATTAATTTACTCCTATATGGAGAATGGAAGCTTGGATTATTGGCTGCATGAGAGTGTTGATGGATCTTCAGTTCTCAAATGGGATGTAAGACTCAAGATAGCTCAAGGAGCAGCTAGTGGATTGGCATACTTGCACAAGGTTTGTGAACCTAACATAGTTCATCGAGACGTAAAATCTAGCAACATACTTTTGGATGAAAAATTTGAAGCTCATTTAGCGGATTTTGGTCTGTCAAGGCTACTTCGCCCATATGATACCCATGTCACAACAGACCTAGTTGGAACATTGGGTTATATTCCTCCAGAGTACAGCCAGACGCTAACTGCAACCTGCAGAGGTGATGTTTACAGTTTCGGTGTTGTTCTTCTGGAGCTTATTACTGGTAGAAGGCCTGTGGAAGTATGCAAAGGAAAAAATTGCAGGGATTTGGTGTCTTGGGTGTTTCAGATGAAATCTGAGAAAAGGGAGTCAGAAATTATAGATCCATCAATATGGGACAAGGATCGGGAAAAGCAACTGTTAGAAATGCTGGAAATTTCCTGTAAATGCTTAGACCAGGATCCAAGGCGGAGACCCTTAATTGATGAAGTTGTTTCATGGCTGAATAGCATTGGAAATGAGGTGGTTCAACAATGAACCTTCATTGATTTCTTACTCTTTGAAATCTTAGCTGGGGGGATATACCTGTAAAGCAGACACTGTCAAGGTTGTATAAGGTTGGCAGGAGTCCTGACCAAATGACTTTGATTTGTTACAGAAACAATCATTTGGCATTGTATACTAACGTTTGAAAGTTGTAAACATTGGCTATTTTGGCCATTTGTTCTATTTGAAATAAGCAATTAAAGAATATCTAATCATTTCCTCTAATTTTTCCTCCTTTGAATCAGGAACACATTGTTAGCTGAAATGCAATCTTTGTTCACAGTGGCTTAAATGGGCCGGTTTGTTTCTCTTAGTATTAACATTGATTCTTTCTCTATCATGATTTCACTTGAATGGATGCAATGATGCCTCTAGAGTCTTTGTAAATAGAAACAACTTAGTTTGTTGTTGCACTGATCATAATTAGCCACACCATATTGTTCATTGTGAATTCATTTGCTTCTTGAACCAGTCAAGGGCGCGTGCTTGTCATGATGCTTTTGTGACATATTATGATCATTCATGAATTCACCAATAACTTGATTCATAGTCAATGCACCAAAACTGGTACTATTATATTGGTTTCATGGTAAGAAAAAGCTCTTATGGCTACTATCATGAGCCAGGGTCCCTTTTCCAAAGCTTCATAACGTTGCACTTTGATTCTCACAATTCGTTTGCACTGAACTCATGGTATGGATAATATATCAGTATCGAGATTTTTTTTCTAGTAACCTATGCATTATTCACCATCAGCATCTGCAATGACTTCCTGAGTAGGCAGTTGCTATACAGTGGTTCAAAATTTTGGTTAAAGGTGGGTCTACTACTGAAGAGGAAGTTGTGGTGTTTCAACAAATTTTGAATAGGAGATGACAACCTTGCATTGAACATGTATGGATGGTTGTTTCAAACGTTCTCACTTTGTTGAATATAGGAAACTACATCTTCATATTTGCTGTCTACAACTGGTTTTTTGCTAATTTTTTTATAAATAAAAATTTAGGGTGAAGTTAGCCCTTCACTCAAAAAAACTTCAATTAAAATTTTAAATTATTTATCAAAATAAATTATTAATAGCGAGAATCGAACTTAAATTTTACAAACGAAATTTTCAAATATCACCAACTCAATTATCTTGACGGCAGCATGTTATTTGTTATCTACCATACACATCTTTCATCTTGGAGCCATGGGGAATAGAAAGGAGGCATTAGTTTTTGTTTTGCCTGCAGTTGCACGAAGAAGCTTGAGAAAGTAAGCAAAGCATCCAAGGTTACAACTAGGTTCTTTTCCCTCCATTTCTTTGAATAGGAACTTAAAACATGTATTTTAAAAAAAAAAAAAAGCACTTTTGCTTTCTTTTCCACCTTTTGTGGGGAGAGTTTTAGGGGGCTAGGAGTTGTTATCTGTCAAATAAACGAGGTTTGAGACAAGAGAATTCTCCTCTTGACTTCATTTGTATTGGTTAACAAAAGCTCATAATTATCAACTCAAAAAGCAAATAAACAGAAATTGAAATGCCGGTTTAGGATTCCTTGGATTTCTTGGCAAAAAATATTTTATAAGAAACTCAAAAAGGAAGATGAAAACAAACATTTAATAAAAACAAAAGTCAATTATCCTATATCCCTACCAATTTTTCTCCTTATTGAACATTTTCAAGCACTTCTTTTTAGATGATGTTGATATTTCAAGGCACCCTTAAAACAGCTATGCAACATTTTCTGTCATGAGTTGAAAACATGCAAGACCAGTGCTAAAACGGCATGATGAAGGGGGGAATTGAGTCAAAGAGTTGTTAGGAAAATTGTAACTGCTAGGTCATATTTCATTTTAACAATACAAGATTGAGTATAGGAGAAAAAAATTTGTATGATTGACTGACCAAGGTGAGCTCACTTATTTTCCAATGGAAAATTTTTTTTTGGTTCATAAAATGTTTAAAAGTAAAAGAGATTACGTAAACATCAATCTATAACAATATTTATAAATTTTTTAAAATTTCTTTATTATTTATCAACAAAGAATCATGAAATTAAAATTTTAATATTTTACATTCAAATATTAAATTTTAATCATTTACGTCAATCTTTATTAATTTATTTAATGAAATTTAAATGTATGTTTTTTGTCAAAATATTCCGGTGAAAGGGATATGAACCAACAATATAATAATCAAATTATCAACTTATACAAGTGAGTGCATTTTTAAAATTATTTTTTAAAAAAATCATATCTAAACAAAATTAAAAAAAAATAGTTTGACACCATTATCAAGTTTTTTCAACATTTTTGGTCATTTTGTTGGGTCCTAAATCAATCAAGTAATAGCTGTTATTCACCCATTTCAACACTTTTACCAACTTTTTTTTTTTTAATGGTGGCTTTGGGGATTTTATGGTGGGAAGAATTTTGGGTTGAAATTTGACACTAGCTTTGTCTTTCTCCCATCTGCTTTTGATATTCATGATTTTTCACGAGACAATGGAGAGGTCTTCTTCACAAATTTCTATATTCCTATGATCCTATCTTATCTTGTGGAAGAAACTAAGGGTTACTTTTTTCTTGACATATAATAGTACATTGAATGTCTATATGGTAGATGGTAGGTCCAATTACTCCTCCTCTGTCTTGCACTCATTTGTATTTTTTTTTTTTACCAAAGTCCTTACCTAAATGGAAAATAGGTGAACCTATAGTTGGAAAATTTTTTCCATTTATCTTGCTTTTAGTCTACAAATTAGGTGACGTTCCATGTAAATATCAAGACTCGTGTTTATTTTTTTAAGAATTCTTTTTTACTTTAAGTTACGTAATCATAAATTTATATTACGTGTTAAAAGAAAGAATTTCAATAACAAAAAAAAAAAAAATTTTTAATCGATAAGAAAAAACTTCATTCTTATACATGAACATTATCTTTTACAAACTTAAAAGATAATTTTATTTATTTTTACAAGTAAATTTAAGATATATAAATGATATTAAGAAAAATGAATATCTAATCTCATAATTTTTTTATATAACAAAAGTCGTAATTTAAAAATTAAAAAATTATAAATATTAAAATTTAAATTTAACTTATTAAATATTACCTCGTAAAAATAATGATATAAGTTAATTTGATTAAATCTTGAATTTTAATAACATAGTTTTCATGCTCATCCATATATCCCAACTCTATGTAAAATTGGTACAAAGAGAACCACCGACCCAAAAAATAAAATATTTTATTAAGCTTTTTTGTATGGAAAATGAGAAACTTCATTATTTCACAAGGGACGTAGATTTTTAAATGTATTTTTCTTATTTCAACGGGGAAACCATGATTATGCTTGTGAAAAGGAGAAAAGACTTTGTTTCGTTCACATTTCTCATCTCTTTTTCTGGTTGGGTTTTCTTTTTCATTTTACCCTTTTGTTGCCAAGATATTTTGCAGCTATGCATTTGAGTTTGCTTCACAAGCCTTTTGCAACACCCCAGTTTCCATTGACACCTAAGACACAATTTCTTAATCTACCATGATGAATTGTTTCTTCATTGGCTCAAGATGTTCATACCAAGTAATTTGTGAACATTAAGCAATCATAATAATTTTATTACATCCGAGTATTTGATTCATTAATTGATATATATTTTACGGCTTTTTGATTAAGACAAATTCCCTTTTTTCCTAATAAAAAATAAAAATTATAAATTAAAAAAAAATTTATTGTTTCTCACACAAAAGTTTGGTGATCTATATGATTCAATGAATTTAATTTGATTATGCTTTTAACTTAGAATATTGCTAATTTCAAAAGACTTAAAATCTTGCTTAATTTGACCCAACAATAAAATACATGTACTTTTAACTTTCAATATTAAAGCTCAAACTCTTTTTTGTTTCGTGGATAGAAGATAATTTTTGTGTTAATGTTTTATGCTAAAGAAGTAAAAATTCAAGCTTTGGGGTTGGCCAAAATGTTAAGGCCTGGGCCTGATTAGATCAACCTAATCATACCAAACCCAAGACCATGAGTCCATGATGGACCCAGAATTAAAGCCTAAATATGGATCTAGAATGGGTCCATGGGAAACACCCTAGTCCTGGCCAGGATCCTGAATCCCGATTGAGCAAGTTAGACCCCAGGCCTCAATGGATGCTGGATCATCACCCTGGAACTGAATAACCCAACTCTCGAAAGCAACAAGAGTTGAGATAACGACTCATCTTAAGCTTGTCCTAGAACGACCAAAACGTGTCCTATTCTTCCCACGTGTAACCTTTTTAACATGACAAATTTCCATTGTTTTGTTTAACACTAACATCAAAGCTTAAGATGAGTATAATTAGGAGCCCTGGGCTGAAAAGGTGCAAGAGAATAATAGTTTCAAGCACAAACAAAAATTTTTACGGTAAAATGATGGAAGCAACATTTTTTGCAAAGAGAGCTCTGTTCAACATCCCCAAATTCTTGCCTCAGGGTTCTCCTGGAAACCAATCAACCAAAAGATTAGTTAGCAGGGCTTGCTCATCCACTTCTTATGAACGTGCAGAAGTAAGAATAATCTTTTAAATTCATTCTGCATTTATTTAGATGGTGAATGAAATAATAATCTTAATATTATTTAGCATTAGTTTGTAAAATAATCTTAATAATAATTTCAGGTCATTTGGTTCATGCATTTCATTGATCCTTTTCTCTATTTTCAGAATTACAAGATAAATCTTTTCGATCATCCTACCATTCAAGTTATTGGTTCTTTAGTTTTCGTATTGCCTGGTTATTTACGTTTTCATTTGAGTGTAAAAGAAGAACTTAAGTGTCCAAAATGGCAATTTTATAGTATGATTTATATATTCAGGGAAGTAATACAGTAGAAGAAGGACAAGGGTCATCAGAGATATCAGATGCACACCAAGAGACGTAATGTACGAAGCCAAACATCGATCATTTGCTACCGAAGAAGGCCGGCCGCAAGGCAGCACGACAAGCTTCACGGCGGATACTGCTAAAGATGAAATTAAAAAGGCGGTTGAGGTGGCAGAAAATGTGGGAGATACAGCAAAGAAAACCCTGGATGGAGCTTTGAAAGCAACTAAAGATACTACTCAAGGTATAAAAGAAATATTGACTAAAAGTGATGATGAGAAAGAGATTGAAAAGGATGTAGCAGTAGATGAGGCTAGGAAAGTTGATCAGCTTCTTGATACAAAAGAATATAGGAGTATTAAGGAATTGAGGGCCAAAGCTGGAGCGTATGACAAGGCACAATGAAGAAGCTTAATATGTTCTTTGGAATCACTTTTGCTTTGAATGCTTTTATCATGCAAAATAAAATGCTTTCCCAATAGTTGGTTAATTAGAGTTTAGACAAGAAGAATATTGGTTCTCAGTTATCAAAATATTTGATCATCTCAACAGTGATTAAAGGGTTTGAATTAAGATTTTCTATTTAAATCCTACATATTCAAATTAAGTTAGACAATATTCGAATTAAGTTAATCATGGACTTTTAATTTTAATTATCAATAAATTAATCATGAACTCTTAATTTTAATAATCAATAAGTTAAGTTCTGTTTTTAAAATATATCATATATTGAAATTGGATAAATATGGATGCATGTTAGTAATTAAATTTAGTTGCAAATTATAAAATTAAGAGCAAGAAACTAAAATTTGAGGTACAAAATTAGTGTCCCTTTCAAATGGCATTTTTTTTTTCCAATGGAAAGCAAAACTGGTGGGTGCACTTATGGTATTATGATCAGGCCATCCTTAGCAATGAAAAATTCTTCAAATTTTGTCGATTTGCATGGGCAGATGAAGAAAAACAAGACTTTTGGAATCTGATACGATGGCAACATAAATAAATAATCCAATGTGGAAAGAAAAGATTGATACTAACAAAATGCGATAAGAAAGCAAAGGAAGGAAAGAGCCAATGTACATATTTTGACCTTTGTTAAAAGGACCCAATCAAAAGGAAGAGTAGGAGGCATCATCACCTCAAATCAATCATTGTAAGCAAAATGTGGGTATTCTTTGGACAGCCCAAGAAAAGTTTGTGACATTTGCTTATAAACTTTATCTAAATAAACTTTTCAAAGTCAAAATATATCTTGCAAAGCATATTGTTGAAAAAGACCTATAGATAATATGCGTCTTATCAAACAGCTGTATATCCTTTCTTTATAGAATGGTTCTCTCATCATTAAAATTACATCTGATTTAGATCTTACAAAAAAAAAAAAAACCATTGCTATATCTTCGTATGAGAAGGAAAGAGAGGAGAGAAAACGTGAAATTGGTTAGTAAAAAAATGGGAAATTGAAACTAAAATTTGATGCAAAGTCATAGACCTCCATGTATTTCTATGCTCAAATTTTTTTCGTCTGATTAATTGTTAACTATAAGACTTCGTTGGTTAAGGGATATGGTGCTGTAAGGGTGAGGGTTAGTGTCGTATAGGTTCCAATTAAGGTCCAGAGCGATGAGAATGGTTCTTCATTTCACCAGACCCTGACTAAACCGACCTTAAGTAAAAGAAACGAAGCAAGAACAACAAAAACCAAAGAATCTAAGAAGATGGAATTGGACCAAAACCAATTCAAGAATAAGAGTGATGGGGGCCATTTGATGGTATCTAGTGGTGAAGAAAAATGACAAGAAAATTTATGAATGATGGATAGAAGGCATTTGAGTTTACTCGAAAAAGAGCGACGCGGAAGAGTGGGGAGGTGAAAGGTAGAGGATAGATAGGACCACGGTGGTACCATGGGCGGAATCAATGAGATGTGTGCGAATGTAGTTGACAGCCATTTGGGTCTTTCATGTCTCTTGTATGATTCTCCTCAACTGAGCATTTTATCCATAAGATAAGCTTTCTTGCACTAACTTGTTACCCAAGTTAATAAAAAAAAAAAAAGACTTATTAGTATGTATTTGAGTTTATATTGTCAAACAAGTAATCGAATTTGAGATTCAAAAACTTCACTCATTTTATTTATGCAATTATTTTTAAAAAATGAAATTCAATAAATTTAAAATGAAATATCAATACATACAACCCATTTTTTTATCTTCATACTGTAATCTTTGTTATAAAAATTAATCGAATTTAAGACGTGCATAACTTTACATTAGCTTTTTGATCAGTTGGTTAAACCAAAATTTTCATCTCACTTTGTATTATCATGTTACTTGTTTGGAGGATGTCGCTATTCCCGTATGCAAATGAATATTGATCCAGCTATTGTAGAAGATTTGTGGCCATATAACTGTTCATGGAATACTATTTTTCCTTTAGGGTTTTGGTAGGGTATTCTTTATTTAAGTAATTTATTTTTCCTCCTAATCTCCCTTCTGTATTTTTCAGTTCATTTTTTAATCTACACATGACAATAATGGTAGTAATTAGTGAATGAGATATGAGAATGACAGATGAGAATAAAAATATCGCTTTGCAAAAGGATTTTAGTTGAAATATTTTGACTCCTTTGGTAGTTTTTTTCTTTTTATTTTCGTACAAACACGCATACACACAAACACAAAGAGTCGAGCTGATGATAATAAGACTGGACTGTAAATTTTGGCTGAACATATTTATCGAGTACCATCGTACAATTGCCATGTGAAACCATGTGTTGTGTCAATGTCACTAGTTCAATTTTTTCTAGCTATTCCTAGTTGTACTGTTGAAACAAAATAGACTGTTAAAGTGAGTTTTACATTTCATCCATGTAATGAAATTCAATGATACTCACATTGAAATTAAAGGAAACATTGCTTTCACATATGGTAAAGACAGAAGTAGATAAAGTAGGATGAGGGAATAAAGCATGGAGTAAAGACTGGGGAGCTATTAGCCCATTTGAAATGAAGAAAAGCATAGGGTACTCTGCTACACTAAAAGCTTGTCATACTCAAACAGGCAGAATTTTTGTGTGAGCCATTGGTTCTGTACAGTCCTATTTCAGGATTCACTTCAATGACCCTTTGATCTGTCTCTCTCAAGGGTCTCTCATCAGCTGTATAATTTGTTCTCAACATTTTGCAAATCAAATTTGAGTTAGTTCTAAGGATATTACCTTTTTGAGGTCTAAATTGTTTGAATTATATAATTAGAGGTAAACCCTTTTCGATTGCGGTAATGCAATTCAATTGTAGAAGTAAATCAGATAAATGTTTTCAATAACATCAAGCAAAAAGCATAGTTTCTGGTTTTGAAATGAAGTTTTAAGAAGAATTGTACAAAGAGAAATCAGGGAGAGAACTTAGACCATAGGTTTAGTGATTTGAAACAATTAGAGTGTACTGTCCAATGAGAGCTTTGACATGAGGTCTGATAGATAATGAATCCATCTGTAAGGTTTTGTTGCTTTTCTCAGATAATGCTGTGTGAAACATGTGCTATAATCTTCCAAATTTCAAGTAGGAGGGAAAGGGTCCCCTAAAATCATTAAAATTTTGAGACTGTCAGGGTTGAACCCTAGCTCCTGAAACTAAAATTTCATTATTTTATCGACAGATCACGTGCTATCAATCAGAAAAGTAAGTTATTAGAGGCTTCTCTCCACTGGCCATTCACTATTCCAAACCAAGTTTAGATCACTTTAAAACGGACAGTTTTGAACTTTTAAAGAAATTTCATTTAATTTGACTCAAAATGTTCTAACACTGAATGATTGAACCATTATAATTTATAACCAAAACATCACCTGAATTGAAACTACCTTGGGAGAAACAATAATTGAGTTTGTGAGAGATTCACTGATGACCAAAATTTAGGCCTGAAAAAACTTCTATTACTAGCATATAAGAACAAACCAAATTCCCAGTTGCTTCCTTCTGAACTTCCAATCATTCACCATGCAACACTACACTGACACACAAGCAAACATACAACAAAAAAATGTCGCTTGTGGTCCTCAACTTCTTTTTCACTTTTTTTTTTCTTTCACCTTTTCTCCCTTCATTTCTTCGAAGTCCCACAAACTTTGATCTCAACATTTCACCAACACTCCATTATTTATACCTCTCCTTCTCCTGCAATGGAAGCTACAGGCTTCAGAAGAAAGTGTGCTTCGAAAGCAAACATGAATAAGGATTTCATGGCTGATCAAGATTTTGACAATGACATGGAGGAAGAAGAAGAAGAGGGTGTTGGTGATCATGGTTTTCCAGATGATGAAAAGAAGAAGAAAGCATATGGGAGGAAAGGGTCAAGTGGTGCTGGGGGTGTGTCACGTCCTTCTTGTCAAGTGGAGAATTGTGGCCTTGATTTATCGGATGTCAAGCGATACCACAGGCGCCATAAGGTGTGTGAGATTCATGCTAAGGCACCGGTTGTGGTTGTTGCTGGTATCAGGCAGCGCTTCTGTCAGCAATGCAGCAGGTTATGGTTTTGTTTATCATTTGATTGTTTCTTTAGTTACTGATACAAGAATTCATTTTAATTTTAATTCAAGCTACTTTGACACTTATAAGTTAATTACTTGACCTAAAAGTGAATCAGTTTAAACTTTTAAGTTGAACAGTTCTTCAATATGGTATGATCAGACCCCATTTATTTTGTATTTAAAACATCTAAGCTTTATGAGATAAATGAAACACTAATTGAAGATCTATGCAGAACATATCCACTGCCATACATAAAGAAATCAGGTGCAAAAACCAATCAAGAAGGTACACTTAATTCAAAGAAAAAGGGTTTTCCTTTTTCTATAATGAGATTCAACATAGTGAAACTGCTAAAAGAAAAAGAAATGTCCGATATTTTTAATTAAGAATCTTTTCCTACGTTCAGCAAACAAACCATTCATTTGGATATATTTTCCTGTAAGTTATTCCTTCAAGGTTCTTAGTCAGCATTTCCAATTATGGAATAAGAAATCGTTTCACAGTTGTGACATTTGGAAATTTTCTTTTTAGCTGCCTTTTATTCCGAGAAAACACTAGTTCTTACCTAAGATATTAACCAATTCGAAACACTGAGATCACTTGAAAATTGTCCTAAATTTTCATATTTTACCTCAGCAAATGTCCCTTAGACATTTCAACTCTGATGAGGGTAATATTCCATGGTCTATGTGTCATGGTATACTTCACAGGTTTCATGAGCTATCAGAGTTTGATGAAGCAAAAAGGAGCTGTCGTAGGCGTCTGGCCGGACACAACGAAAGGCGTAGGAAGACTTCAGCTGAATCATCTGCAGAAGGTTCAAGTCGCAAAGGGATGAGTCCTCAGTTGAAAGAGAGTCATTGCAGGCAGGCTGATGATCAAAGAGCCAGAGTTCCAATAGCAATCCCAGGCAATTCATCCTTTAAGCGTTCCCAGATTAGATAAGGAGCTTGAGGACCAAAACATCATCAGCATATGCTCCCTCTCTTCTGTCATGGTTCATGTCTTGTACTATGTAGTAGCTACTTAGTATTATATTATGGGGGATTCAATAACAATGTCAGGCATCGAAATTGAAGTCGATTATCAGGGCTTCAGAAGCTTGTTTTCTCGCGTAATCTATGCTTTCTATAGCTGATAACCCTTCATCTATGGAGTCTTCTATTGTATAAATGGATATATCAATAATTCCCCATGAACTAGTTGATTGCCAACCTTGGCATTTGTTTTCAAGTAATGCGTATGAAACACTGGATGGGTGAGTGTTGTGAACATATTTTGGCCATTTAACAACCACAAACATCTTAATTTGGTCTAATTGTCTCATTTGCAGAGAAATCATATGTAAAAGTGCTGAAAGTCTAATACCAGATGAACAATTGACTTAAAAAATTTGGCCCAACTCCAATTGACTTGAAATCAAATTCTCTGTCTTCTGAAACCAATCAACCAGAGATGGCTTTACTCAAACCCGAGCAATATCTATTCATGTGATGAATTTCATTGAAAACTAAGTCATGAGAAAAAAAATGTTAAACAGCAACTTCATTTGGAGATGCCCCTTCTTTTTATATTGCTTCTGCTTCCACATATGCCCGGATGGTGGTTTTTGTAGTTTTTTTCCCATCATATTTGGGAAATCTGGCATGGTAAATATAAGCTCTAGAATCTATTGAAGAAAAACAACCGAGGGAGAATTTGTTTGTCAATACAAATTCTGTAATTTAATGGGGTATTTGGTATTCGATCAGCTGAACTGCTGAAAGCCATGAGTAAGCTACGATGGAATACAAAATATAAGTAAACATTGATGCAATGGCAGAAGTAACAGAGTAGAACAACCTGTAAATTACATATGAACCTCATTTTGTTCATTAGACAGCTTCAGTACATTTTGCTTATGTATAGATAGCTTCTGATGTCGCAAATTCTATTAACATAACAAAGGTGCTTGCACATCATTTGAAAGCAGGACAATTGCAACACTTAAGATCACTAAAATCTTACAACAATGCAGGAAATGTCATCTGCACTGTTCCTCTTAACAGCCTCCTCAGATAGGCGCTTTGCTGCAGATCGAGCATCCTTAATGTTCCTGATAGCATCGACAGCTTCTTGGTTTGTCATTACCTGGAAATAGTTTGAAGGAACAGACTGTTCAATCTTCGGTGGAATGTGAAATTTGAACAAAAGAAAAATGCATTAAGCGGAAGAGTAATGTTGTTTTTAGGATTATGACACATTCAGATAGGGACAACCTTCCATAAACCATCACTTGCCAATATTATTAAGTCTGTATCATCATCAATCATCTCTACGGCCACGTCTGGCTTTGAACTAAGTTGTTCCTTTAAATTCTTGTCACCAAATGCCCTTGCCACTGCCAACTGCCCATCAACCCGTGCAACATCCCCTGAAGTCACATGAGAACTTTTCAGTTCTTTTAATTGTGATCGAATTGTTGATGTAGTTTCGAAACAAATTAAAAAAAAAAAAGACTGGCACCCATTACCTGGACAGTTTGACACAAAGCCACCTCTATTTTCTATGCTCTCCTTTTCCATGATGGGCTCATGATCAACTGAAAGCTGTTTAGCCTCACCATTCTTAGAGATAACAGCCCGAGAATCACCAACATTAGCTTTTACTAGCTTCTGGCAGTTTATTAATATTGCTGTGACTGCTGTTGAACCCCCTTTGCCCAAATCAACTGCCTTTTCCAATATATTTGTATCCGTTATACGATATGCTTTCCTAATTGCATTCTCTGGCTTTGTCCAAAATTCAGGCTGCTTGCAGGAAAACGAAACTAAGACAGATACTTGATAGAAAGAATAACGATGATAATGAAACAAGAATGAAGTTCAATTTGTTATAAAAAGTTAAAAGTGGAGAGCAGATAGTATTGATGCTCTAGAAGAAGATGCAGCCATTACAGATGACCTCATTCAAGATATTATCAAACAAATGTGACTTCAAATAATCAGGAATAATATGGCTTAGGTGACCATCAAATATAGCAAATAAACCAAGCTCACTTTCACCAGCTTTCTTAAATTCTGCAACAACAAAGTCTTCCATGGGACGATGTGCTTTCCCCTTCATTAAATGATAACCATGAGTTATTTTCTTTGATGTCTTACTTTTCCCTTTTCCAGATTCAGCTGTGGAAGAGCTTAAGCTCACTTTTTCTTGTACTTTTTCCTGCAGTGAATCAATATAAGCAGTTGAGCACACAGTAGAGATAAGGTGTAGATTGACAGTGATACTACTTGAAATCAATCACCACATGATCTTGCAAATGGTTTCTTTAAAAAAATACTAACAAGAACTTATGAAAAATAAAAAATTAAAAAAAAAAAAGCACCACATACGAGATAAACAACCCATTTGAAGACAACCTAAACCCATGCAAGATACTCTATTACAAATGTCATTTCCATTACCAAACAAGAAAGAACCCCATGTTACATGTATTCCTCCGTATAGTTTTGCTTACAAAACATGTCATTGCCTATCATTTCAAGGCACAAAAAATCAAAAACCAAAACTTTGCTTAATGATTTGTTAATTTTCTTTTTGTTGTTTGAGACTATCAAAAATTGAACTGTGATTAATAAAACTAAAAATTCAACGATCTATACAACTGTTGTGGAATGACTTTCATATGTACCAAGAAACAACAGATCATGTAAAGTGTAACTATAACAAAAGAAAAAAAGAAGTAAAAGGGCATTCAAATAAGAAAGAAAAAAATTGATCAACACATCCAACCCCCCACCAAAAAAAACTCAAAGAGAAAAAGAGAGCATATATATGCCTTCATCTTGTGGAGGATTTCTTTGCCAGTCATAGCATCCTTAAAAGGAAAGAGCTTCTATATATATATAGTAAGTGGATGTAGTTCTTGTTAAGAGGGCGGTGCACGGTGGCCAAAAGAAGCCAAAAAAACTGCTGAAAGTCGGAAACAAGTGTTAGAAGAGGGAAGCCAAGAGAAAGCGTAGTAGTGCAAGAGGATGGAGAGGGAGACAGGTGTTGGCTGAAGTAGGATCAACTGTTGACACGCCGCGTTCTTTTCTTTAACTTCATGACGCATTCTTCAGACTTACGCAATCGAGCTGAGCTAAGTTTATAAAATAAAATATTTAAATTTTAATTTTAATTTAATTTAAATTTATTTTTTAAAATTTGATTGAATTTTAATTTTTAAATTTAAATTTGATTTACAATAAAATTTGAATTATTAAAACTTATTTGATTAGATTTTTAAAGTTTAATTTTTATATTCAATTTTAAACTTGATTATATATTTAAATTTAAATTCAAATTCGAATTGATATATATAAGTAAAATAATAGTTTTTTTAATTAAAATAATAAAAATATATTAAAATTTAAAATTTTAATTAAGCTTGTAAATTATTTAAATTAGATATTAGGATACTTGAATTTAACTATTTTGATAAATCAAATTATTCGAACTCAAACTCGATTCCATAATAATTAAATTGAATTTAAATTTTATTTAAATTAAACTCAAATAACTTATAAGTATTAATGTATTGTTTACACATTTAATTTTTCACACTTACTCATTCCATTTTTTTTATTTGTAATTTAATCTTAACCCTTATTGTTATATTTATCTTATTAAAAAATATTACATAAATAAATTTCTTTAAATCCACAACTTTTTAAGTGCAAACTTTGATGATTAAAATTATTGAGCATTTGATTCAGTTTTGATGCATAATTTAATAAGAATGTTTATAATTCAGTTTTAATCGAATTAATAGATTAAATCGATTAATTCAATTAATTAATTGATTATTAAATTAATTTTGATCAATTAATAAAATAATTTTAAAATTTTTTGATTTTTAGTTAATTCAATTCCAAAACTGAAATAATCAAATTAACTGAAAGTTTAATCAAAATATAATAAAATTTAAATATAAAATATATTATTTAATTTAATAAGTTATTAAAGTTTTTAATATAAAATTTTAGTATTTGAATATTTTGTTGAATAATTTTATTTAGTTTGTTTAAAATATGATAAATTAAGAGTTTAAAATATAATTTAACTTAAATTTATTTATTATTTGATTAATCAAAACAATTAACCAAACCGATGAAATAAAATTTAGTTGATTAATTTTTAAGATTAATAATTTTAATTTTTGTTAATAAAAATAAATTAATTTAATTTAATTAATTTAATTTTAAATAATTTGATTTTCAAATAAAATTATTGGTTGGGCCTAGAAATATAAGTAGGCTAGTGGTTTTCTCTTAGCCCAAACTTTGTATAGTGTATTGAAGCCTCTAAGCCCCAAGGTTTTCACTAAGGTAATCCTTTTATATATATATAATCAAATTGGGTTTCTTGTCCACCTAATTGGGAGAAAAAAGAGCCCATTAACTCAGAGGGTAGCCTTAATTTGAGTTCAAAACTTCAAAACCCGGCTCAAATAAAAGCCCCGTAAATAAAGAATGAAGCAGCTATTGGTCAAAAGTTGGCTTAAGAGTCAGCTAAACTATGGACCTACCATCTCCACAGCCGATGAAGAGTATCAACAAAAGGAAAAAGATTGAAAAAGATTAAGAAATCAATGGCTTGCTTACTTGCTTGTGGGGCAAACAGTAGACCAAATTTTGGCTGACTGCTGGTGGTCTCAAAGGCATGATGCCCTTAAATGGGCCCAAAAGCTCCTCTAAAATAACCCAAATGGGGGACAAAGGAAATTCTCAAGGAGCTCTTTGTCCTCGTTTCTAGGAGTGATCCAAAGTGTCTGACGAAATTAAAAATTAAAAGCTTATTTTTTTTTTTCTAGTGTAGTCCCCACTGAGCCTTTGTTTCCCCAAAGGTTTTGCTTTGTTGATCCCATTATAGCCATGGCATTGAGAGAGCCTAAACAATCAAATAAGTTGGTATTTTTTAAATTTGTTAATTTTAAATATAATAATATAATACAAAATAATATAAAAAATATAAAAATAATATATTTTAAAATTTTAATAAAATCATATTTAAATTGAAAAAAACTAAAATATATTTCATATTTAATTTATTAAACGATACAATAATTTTTATATTTTATATATATTTAATACAATATAAATATATAAATTATTATCGAATCTAGTAATTATTAGCATTAAGTTAACAATTGTGTGGATAATTTTTAGTCAATATCTCTCCTATCTATGGTCTAAAAAGTTCTTTTTTGCTTTACATGCAAGAGTATTTTTGGGAGGTTGTGTCAACTCATGGAAACAAAAGCCAATGGGCTTATATGTTTGATTCCCTATTAGTCAGTGTATCAAACTAGATCTCATAAGTAAAGTTGAGTTGGCTACAATTTTTTACTAATATCTTTGATTCAATATTAGTCAAACTTTGGGCGCCTCATGTTAGCAATTATATAGCTTAAGTTTTTTTTTTTTTAATCAATTAATTATATCCACCTAAATATTACCATCATATTCTTACATTTTCCTTGGTAAGTGTTAAACCAATGAATTTGGTAACTATATATATAATATTAGTATCTTACGATAATATCATGATTAGTTCAATTAATTAATATTCATCTTCTTCAATAAAAAAATTTTAAATTTAAATTTTGTTAATAATCGTTTGTTGGAGTCATTTTGAATATACGATTTATAGTCGTTTACCTTAAACTGTTAGATATAGTAAATCTTATCGAGACATAAGGAATTGAGCAACTTATTTATCTTCAAATTTAAGCATCAAAGTATTTTATGATAATTAAAATACATTGCTTTAACCTTAAGTTTGGGATGATTTAAATTAAGTTTTTAAGTTTGAGATAAGAGCTAATGCTTTCTTCAAAAAACAAAAAAAATATTATATGTAATATGCGAACATCGAAAATTCAACCATTACAATAAATTTTTTGAAAAGAAAAATGCATAATTTATTAGATCAAGATGATTTAAATCATTTGACTGAATCTTAAGCTATGGTCAAAGATGAATAAAACTTACTCTGAATCAATTAAGACACACGTTTAGGGATTATCCCACGCAAACAATATTATTACGACACCAAGCTCTCCATGTGCTAGATCAAGCTTGAGTTGGCAAGAATGACTTCATGATTTACACCACCAAAAACTCATCAGCATCACCCAACAAGGGACCCATATCAGTCCAAGCTGTTCCATCTAGACATAACACATGATTCTCTCACCTTGTTCCTATCATACTATGTATCATCAACTTAATATAAATAAATACAAGTACAGAAGCTTGCTCATGCACCCCCAAACTCCCACACAAGAAAGATTAGTGTAATCAAAATCTTCCATGGAAAATCGTAGGAAGAGGTCTAGCTCTGGTGAGATATTCTCCTTCCCTAGCACCCCAAATCAAGATCAAGATTCCGATTTCGATTTCGGGTGTTTTACCCCTGATTCACCTTCTCAAGATCCATACAGAACCTCACCAGCTGATCATCTTTTCGTCAATGGCAGACTATTGCCACATGCATTTCCTTTACAACCTGCAACAATGGTTGCAGCTGATAACAGTTCCCGTGGGACAAGCAGAACAAGCAGCATCAACAGCAAGGATTCATTTATGTCTTCAAGAAGTAACAGTACTAACAGCAGAAGCAGTTGCAGCAGTGCAAGAACAAGCTCGAGTGACAATTCAGAGAGGAGATTGTTGTACCATAGCAAAATCCGTGCGTGTAATAAAGCAAGCAAAATGGTAACTGCTCATCTATATGGGGATTCTCAGAGATGGCAGTATATCACAGCAGTGCCTGTTCTGAAACGTGAGGTTTCCGGAAGGAAAAATAGTGGGGTTGTGGCGAAAGAAGCCTCGAGAGCTAAGAAACAAGTTGATCATCATCAAGAAAAGAGTACAACTAGGGGAAGATCAGGGCCTTGCCTGAGATTTGTGAGGTTTTTTTTGTTGGCCTGTAGAGAATGTCATGCCATGGAACCTTCCGGGAAACAATGTGGTGCAAGGAAATTTTAGTGTTGGATAATTTATGAATCTATAATTTTTTTTAAATATATTTTCCCAAACTTTTTCATGTTTGAGTTTGTGTTGATTTTGTGCTATGAACATCATTTGTTTGAGATTTTGGTACAATATTTCTTGTCAACTGGAAAAAGAAATACTTTGAAGATATAGATAGTAGGCAAAAGGAAGATCATACTACTGCAGTGCTGGTTTCTCTATGATTTTGATATAATCAATATGTTATGGAAATTCATTGCAAGATCCTAGGATTATCCAGGATTTGTAATATGCTGCAGGCCTGCAGTAGCTGATGTTTTTGTTTAAAGGAAGATTGGGGGATGTCAGAGTGTCCTGTTTCTTTTGTAAAAGCATGCTTTATAGCACTATATGCCAACCTGTTCCGGCATAGTTTGGGTCTTACAAGCTTAATTAGTAGAAATGGGAAACAAAAAATCACTTCAAATCCTTTGGCCAATGAAAGTTCACAAATTCAGGAAAAAAGACTATATTTAAATTCAAATTTTAATTCAATTGATTCGTACAATTATTCTTAAGAAGTGATATTAATAAATTTAATATTCAAATCTTAACTCTTACAATTCATTCTCTTATCTCAAATTATGGTTTCTTTTATATAAAAAATATGTACTCTAGTTAAAATTATTATTATTACCTCATTCAAATAGTAAATTAAAACATAAAGGCAGCTGTGCCTAAGGTCCTGAAGCCAGCTGACTTGAAGTAGTTTCAATTTTTTTTTATCAATGGTTCACACTTGGCATTCTATTTTGGTCATTCTCAGAATAGTAGGACTTGGATAGACCTTTACTTTTAAACCTAGACCCAGAAAAAATGGTCTAGAAAATGCAGGTACAGACGACAAAGCAAATAGCTTGTTTTACTTCTTAAATTAAGGTGCTCGAGTATTTAGCTTCAAGTTCATTTAATATCGTGATGTAAAAGATTTTTAAAGTGTCATAATTGTATTTAATAACTATTAGAATCTTAAAAGTTTAATCATATAATAATATCATAGTATGATCAAAATCCCTCTCATTATATTGTCTAATGAATCCTTAATTATACATGATACCTTACACTTTGAGCAGAGTCCGAATCCAAAATTACATTAACGATGGGCCACTGAGGTGAAATGGAAGTTGGGCTCCAAAATACCTGAATAACAAAATAAGCTCAAAATGAAAGAAAACCAACCCAGGAATAAAAGTCTGGATACGAAGGAAAAAAGACCCTGAAATCTGAACAATATAGCCTAAGCCCATAAAAGTGAATGACAAAAGGCAGAAGGAAGGGAATTTTCCTCTGCCCAGGCAAGGCAACCAGTGAAGCGAGTTTACAAATTAAGAGGACTTGGGAAAACTTGGAGCAAGGTAACTTAGCAACATTCCATTGAAAACAGGTAAGAAAGAGGATGTTTGATTGTTGATTCGATTGGATTTTTATTGTTGAGTATTAGAATTGAGTTTAGTTAGGCTTGAACCATGCCAGTTTTGTCGTCATCCCAGTATGATCTTTTGATCAATCTTTTGTTTACATCATTGTGGGTGTTGAATTATTGGTTTTGAATTTTTTGTTTGATATGTGATCTTCCGGGTTCCTTTTTGTTTGGTTAGTGGGAAAACATTTAGGAAAAGAAAGCTGAGATGGAGATGGCAGGTGTAGGAGGAATCACAGAAAGGAGAGAGATGGATATGGATGTTGATGAAATGGACTCTTTGTTTGAAGGGATGGTTCTTTTTACGCCATCCCAGTTGGTAGAAGACCATGAGCGAGAGCAAAAGCAAGATCTTTATCAACCTGAACTCGAATCACAGAATTTAACACAGCAGCAGCATCAGGTTCAGGAGCCCCTTGATGAGAATCTGTTCTCTGACCTTATTCTTCAAACCCCACTTGATGAGCCAGAACCTGAACCCGAACACGAACCAGAACCAGAAGCAGGGCCTTCTGCTACTGTGTTCTCTAGGCAGATGTCTTCTACTTATAGAAAGAAAAGGAGAGCTATTGGATTCAGGATTGGATATGGCAGAGATAATCAAATTGATAATAATACTGATGGTCATGATACTGGATTCAGGATTGGATATGGTAGAGATGATACTGATGGTCATGATGATAATCATCCTTCTCTTCACACCAGTAACATGACAAGCACCAATATATCTTTGGCCTCGGACTCAGATTCACAATCACACCGAGTTCAGGCAGAGCAGCAAGAACAAAAACAATCCAGTACTGATGCCGAAGCCCAATTTGAGCAAATCAAGATCCAGATTGCTAATAAACTCAGTCATGCTCATGAATTAGCGGCCTCTATATCTGCAGCTCGCAAGGACTCCATTAGTAGAAGAAGAAAGGCTGCTGATGATCTTCACTTAGTAACTATTAGACTCAGGGACCTTGAAAAGCAATTGGAGGATGCTTGTGAAGCTGAAGATTTTGAGGCTGCTGACAGTATCAATGAGAGCCTTGCAGCTGCTGACAAGGATAAGCAGGCTCTCCTTACTGCTCTTCGAGATGCTGAGGCACGATGCAATGCTATTGATTCCAAAATGCTTGAGGTTCTCAACTGCCAGATTGCTGTTGAGGAGGAGTGTGCCTCTTTGCTCCATCATTTCTCTGAGGTCAGCCATTCAACCATTACTAGTAGTCTTTTTAGATGCCAACCATTTATTGTTTTAATTTTTCTCCGGGTATAGATTGCTCCTTTATGCTAATTAAAGGTTATTATTACAAGTAACTACGTGCTCATTGAGTTATGAGTGGTTTGTATTTCAATTCCTTTCTTCCATTATTACATGGTTGTGCTTTTTGAGTCTGACCCGTACATTCCTCTCCCTCTAGGATGCTATGAGTAATGCTGATCTGGTATTCAAGAAATCAGAAGCACAATCTTCAGAAGAAAGGGAGAAATGGCTTTCTTCAACTGAAGCCTTGGAGTTGAACAAGATAGAATTACAAATTGAGGCACATTTATTAGATGACGCTCGTGCGGTATTCAACACTTCCCTTGACAGCTTGATACAAGATGACAAGAGAGAGAAAGAATTTCTATATAGTCAAAAAGATATATTGAGTGATGAATTGCAAAAGCTACTTGCCTTAGTGAAAGACAAGGAAAGAGAAATTGCCGAAAATGACTCTAAAATCAAACAAGTAGAACAAAGGATTGCTGATGTGGTCTCTGGCTTTCAAGAGATGCAATCTAGCATTGACTCAAAGTGTGACAACTTACTATCTCATCTTTCCCAGATGGAAATAGAGAGTGAAACTCTGTCAAAGAAAAAGGAAGAAATTGACAAGCTTCTCACAGAAGAAGAAGATAGGGGTATTAAGATCAAGGAGCTTGCCAGGATTTCTGTAGATGAAGCAAAAATGTATCAGGAAGTTGTTGGACTAAGAAAAACTTTTCTATCCTCAGTTTTGAAGTCCATGGAAGATAAAGTGAGGCTTGCTAAGACTGAGGAGAAGCTTTCTGAGGATGTCCAAGTGCTTCAACAGGAGGCTTCTACTGCAAGGGTTTCTCTACAGGTTCATTTTTCTTTGCAAAATATAAGAGGGATTTTACTGTATTGATTGTGTTTCATTACTGTATTTTCTTTTACCCCTGCATGAAATTTGTTCCTGGCTCCTTCATCCAATTATCATAGAACTTGACTAACTTAATTAATCAGCATCTTCAATTGATTTTATGGATCTGGTCTTTGATAGCTTCATACTGTTTTTCTCTTTGGAGTCCACAAAGGCTAAAATGCATGGATTCAATCCCTCTTATCTGTTCTGTTTTAAGTATGAAAGAAATTTGCTATATGTTAATGTAAATCACCATCTAGTAGTCCTAGTTTGTCAATTCAAACTTGCAAATGTAGATCGGACTTCTGAGTTCCTGGTGACTGGTCTTGCCTTGGATGAGTGCCTTTTCAACCTGCTGTAAATAGAGAGGCTAATAACTTAATTTCATTACTTAAGCTATAGGTAACCAATTCTTCCTATCAAGCAATTTCAGTATCATGAAAATCAGTGGGATGTTAAACTCCATGATGTTGCACTTCGTAGTTTGTTTCACTTGAATATAGTATATACTAGCGCACAAGAAGCTTTGGATATCTGTTTTTCTTTCTTTTCTTTTTTTTTCTTTGCCCTTTTCAAATATCAACTTGTCAAAAGGTAAACGCCTGATACACAACATTCTTCCCCTTCTGTGATGCCTGTAATTAAATAAATTTTCCCTCTACTGATTTCAGGAATTATCTTCAACAAAGTCAAGCATTCAGCAAAATATATCATCTTTAAAGCAGAGGATCTTTTTCATAGACAAAATAGTTCCAGACCTTGAAGCAGAAAAGAAGGTTGCTGCTGCTTCAAGAAATTTTAAGGAAGCTGCGCGATTAGCAGCTGAAGCAAAATCGTTAAGCATTGAAAGGGAAAGTGTACAAATTGAAATGGACAAAGCAGTGTTGGATCTAGGCAAACTAGAGGATAAGATAAAGGATATAGTGGAGAAATTGCAGCGGATTGAAGGACTGATTTTATCCAAAGAAAAAGAAGTGGCAGTGGCTAGGTTCCAGAGATTACTTCTAATTGCTGGTGCTGCCAAAGCAGAAAGATTGGCTGCTTTAGAGTTGGGTGACCTTGAAGGGGCCAACCTTCTACTTGCAGAGGCTGATTCAGCTGATTCTGAAGCAAAAGAGCTTCAACCAAAATTCAATTTGAAAGAAGAAGAGTTTGAAGATTTACCAAAACACTTCATCTCCCTGGAACTTTTAACAAACCTTGGCCAGAAGAAATTAGCAGATTTAGCTGCATTGTCTGCTGCCTGATGATTCAAGCAGCTTTTGATAATTACAAGTTAAAACCGACTTCAGAATTGCCTTCTTAGATGCAAGATGTGGGTTTGCCATTTTCCCTTATGCAGTTATGCATAATTTCTCAATGCTTCAGCGCCTTCAAAAACAACACAGCACCATCTGGGTTGTGCTATTTGGATCTTTTGCTTGTACTCCATGCCAACCATTTGGATCATTCGATACATGTGGTCACAAGGTACAAGCAACTGAAATTGTCACCATTCATTCATCAACCCCAACGAAGGTTCATTTGGTTTGTTGCACTGGCTTTTGATCTTCTTGTTCATTATCTTCTTGATTCTCTACCCCTAACTGCTATATAATAATGTGTACCTTTTCCTTGGGGGTTTGTTCTGCCATTTGCTCAATGTGGCTTTGAAAGTTCAAGTTTAACAATGCAAATAGATATTTTGAAGCTTGCATTCTTATTGTTTACAATGCCTGGTGGATTATATATAATATTATATATATTAAAAAACACATCTGGGAATGAGTTTCATGTTTCAACTTAGATCTTATTGCGATAGATTTTTTTGTTGGAATTTGGGAAATTTTGAGTGACCTAAATATATTTAATTGATGATTGACAGGAAAAACTAGAGTAAGGGAATGGGCATGGTGAATCTTCAGGAAATTGTGTTGGAGGCCAATTCAAGTGTTTGAGAACCCCCATTGCTTCAGAAATTATGCTTCTAAAATGGTAATCAAGTTTGAATTTTGTATATTGGTTTTATATGATGATTATAATTCTATTTCTCTATTCCATTTTTTAATTCAAATCTTTGATGTTGCTAAGGTCAATTTTTAAAATTTCATATGCCTCTTTGGAATCAGTTTTCATATGTATTTTTTATTCTGTGAAAATTGATTCCTGAAAGCAATATGTAGCATGACTTTAAAGGCATCATAGTGTGAAGCATCTGAAGTCAGTATAATCATTTATACAAAAGAGACTTGTAGGCTAAAACCTTCCAGACTACATGAACATCATAGGGCTCACCTGTCAGCCTTTAAGCTCTTAAAGAAAGAAGCAATAGAAGATTCTTGAAAAGCATTTCTAGAATTCTACTCCCTGTATCATCCATCAATAAAGCATGTTGATTCTGCACATGATTCCTTGACCGAATAGCAAAATCTATATCGGCCTTGTTATATTAGCATTATCATGAACACTAATCTAAGGCTGTAAAGAACTGGAGCTGAAAAAAGAGATGAAAAAGTATCATGCAAGCATTTACTGCAACTTCATATGTTTTTCCAAATTATTATGATTTATAATATGCTTTCGATCAAGAGCCTTTGTGATGCCTCGAATTTGGCATGTAAAGAGTATACTTTCATTGTAGTGTGCATTAATCCATAGTAAATACAATTCCTTCCCAAATCATTATATCAAATTAGAAATTCTAATTGTGAAATTTCTATTTTGCAGGGGCGATATGGAAATGCAAGATCTGTGTCAGTTTCATCAACAAACAAGAGTGTGGGAAGTTTGTATTTTGGGTGCAATATTCATGTCAACTTGAAAAACAAATACTTTTGAAAATATTTACCAGGCAAAAGTTATGATTTTTAGTATCATTTATTTTGTTATGGGAAATTCAGTGCAATTTGCAAAATCCTAGGATATCCAGGATTTGTCATATACAGCAGACCTCCAACAGGCAACAGTTTATACTATTTTTTGCTGAAAAGAAGACTGGGGAGTGACCAACTGTCTTTAAATCCCTCAATGAATCAAGGTTCAGTATATCAGGTAAAACCGACCTGATTTTAAAATGATTGAAAGGCCCCTCATTCAAATAGATTATTTACAGTTCAAGAATATGAAAATGTTAAATTTAATTCAATTAGTTTATATAATCAAGTCATTCTTTTTAAAAGGTGACAATAAATTTGGAAATCCAATCTTAATGTACATAATCTTTTATTTACAGCCTTTGTTATATAAAGTTCAACTAAATGAAAAAAACATGTTTAGATTCAGTTATTTGTAAAACCAAAACATTGACGGTGGCTGTGAGAACTAGCATCCAATCCAACAAATTTAGATCATTGTTTTTTTTCCCTCTCTGTTTTCCTTTTCTAAGGAAAGAAACATACATTGGCATAGTCATACATCTAGGAGAATGTTATGCAATCTCAACTATAGTTTACTAGTTAAAAAATAGAAGGTGAACTTATAAAAAAGGGTCTGAATTAACAATCAAAACGTCATTGTTTGGACAAAACCATTAAGATCTGCAATGTTTTCTTTTATGGAAAGTGGAATAATCTCATGCTTGGAACCGAAGTAACGACATGTCTGGCTGACATTGTATATTGAAAATTCAAATGTCAATATTCAAAGGAAACCTAAACGGAAAAACTTGCGTTAGGAGGATAAACTACAACAAATGATTAGAAAAGTTCAGTTTAATGGATTAGAGAGACAAACGTAAAAGGACATGAAAACAAACACAGTAATTTCAGCAACAAAGAAACACATAACCTTAAAGTAAATACAAATTATCACCCTTTAGTCCCCTCTAAAACAACCCTTCTTAAGTTTCATTCCAAGAAGGTTTCCATACCATCATCAGTGTATATCCCTGCCTCGGAGTTCCTGTACTCCACAGGTCGGTGCTGATGATGATCCACAGAAGTTGAAGATGAAGACGTAGCCATTCTTGCAGGTAATGTAAAGCTCCTCTTAAACTTGTTTTCCATCTTCATCGAATTCTCCGGATGACTATCCAAGCTCAAGAACTCATTGGGGTTTGCACCGGCATCTGAATGTTGATTAGAGTCTTTTCCTTCAAGAACAAGTGGATGGTGATTTTGGTCTGCTTTGTTTCCTAAGCTCTCGGGGTTAAATAAGAGCTTGACATCTTCGGTTCGTCCAGTGAGAGCATTGAAGAAACTTAAGCCATTAGGCCATTTGATGTCATTTTCATGTTCACCCATCATATCTTCCATTCGGGTTTCAGATGAATGAGGCATGAGAAACATGTGGGTCTCATCTTTGGCTTGTGGGAATCCAAGTCTAGCAGGGTTCTGGAAATTAGGTGAAGCAAGCATTGGAGTCACTGGCGGAAGTGGCCTCTGGCTCCAGTTGAAGAGTGGAGGAGGAGGCCGGATTGGAACCGCAGACTGCCTTGAAGGAATTGTAGATGAAGAGGAACCGTTTCTGTTTGACGAAAACAACTGCGAGAGATAGAAACCAGACTGATAGCCAAGAGATTCAAAGGTATGCCTCATTCTTAGCACAAAATGGAGGTCTTCAGTTATCTGGGGATACACACAGCATCTCAATAATATCAAAAATCATCAAACAATTTCAGCTATAATATGCATTCACTTTGATCTCAAAAATCAACGGCCAAAAATTAAATTTTCAAGAGCTACTTCACGGTCAACTAAATAACTAGAAATTACAATCCTTAATATCAGACTCACAATCTTGCAGGAACCCAACTGGAGGAGACCATGGCCAGCTTGAATCACAGCAATAGTCTGGTCAAGAGAAATCAAGAATCACCAAAGTAATAATGAAAACATACCAGAATAAGACTAAAAACAGTGAAAAATGAGTTTGTTTCTATTCTGACCTGAATGCCTGACTCAAATTGATCAGTCCATTCAGGAGGAAGCTGCAATTAGATAACAACAAAGGAGAAAAGTTGCATCAAAACAAATAACAAAACCATGGTATAATTGCCTTACACCAAGTTTTCCATTAACAGATACTTGATCATTGAACCCCAAACTTCAAAATAGGACAAACAATTGAAATTTAAAGAAAAAAATAGTGAAAAAAGAAGGGGAAGATAAAGATGGGGTATATGACATACAGCATCAAAGGAACTCTGCCAATAATTGGAGATATTGGGTTCACATTCTGTTGGTTCTTTAAATACCCATTTATGGCACTTATCTGATGCAACCTTTCCCATTAACCTGTCCATGAAATAAGATTTCAACCAATCAATAACACAAATAAAGAAACCAAAAACAAATTTATTTTTTCAACTATCTCTTTTCATGCAGAGAAAGAGTCTGTCAGGGAGGGACAGAACTGAAAAAAAAAAAAATTAATAACACCTACCCAGCACCCACCCTTCTCCATAATTATATAACTGAATGGACATTTTGCTGAAAGCTTTCCTCACTGGATCTTCTACATCAATCTCTTCCAAACAATCTGTAACTCTTCCTCGGCAAAATCCATCTTCCCACATCAACATCCTTCACCATGAAAAAAAAAAAATCAAATTTTGCAACAAAATTGAACATGAATTTACTAAATTTAAAAATGAAAATGCCTCTATAGCACAAATAAACCAAAACCTATTTCTTAAATTTAATTACTAACTCAAATTTCACTCAAAATTTCCCCATCACTAAATATCCAGATTTCCCCTGTTTTCTATCCCCTGTTTCTGCAAGGAGACAAGTAGCGCCTATCTTTTTTTACTGATAAAATGCAAAGAAGTGTAAAGGAAAAATGAAAACAAATAAGTGAAAATGAGGGACTAAATAATCAAAAGTTTGTAACACTTAAACCCTTATTTTCCTCTGTTTACCCAGGAAACAAACAAAAGTTGTACTTACAAGCTGCCGTTATCATCTCCAACCTTGCAACCATTACCTCCCCTCACTCTCCTACACGAAAACAAAGAAACCCAATGAAGTAAAACAGCTGAAAAAAGCACGAAACTTGAAGAAAAAGAGGAAAACTTTAGTAAGTGATAATCATATAAATTAAAAAAAAAGAAAAGAAAATTTGGAGATTTTGAAGGGGAACAAAAAAAGAAACATACGGGCGAGGACGTATGGTCCAGAAGACAGAGTAAGTCCAGTCTGAGTTGAGACAGACGGCTCTAAGTGCTTCATGAAGGGCCATCATCCCAACAGCTTCTTTGCTCCTATCTGCTGAACCTGAGCCCACCATCTCTCTCTTTCTGCCCTCTCTTTCTTTCTCTCTATATCTATATTTATATGAAAGAAATTATATGTATACCCTTTTTTTCTTTTTTCTTTTTTTCTCTAAAAGCATGCAACTTCCTTTCAAAACACACACACTGCTAACCTTTGCCACTTTCAATTATTTTGTGTTTACCTTCTTTTTCAATTTTTTTTCTCTTTGTTCTGACAAACACTTTTTCTTTGCTCTGCTAATCTCAAGCACAAAGCAAAACTCACTCTCCTCTTTATCTTTAGTACTATTCCTTTTGTTTGTCCCCCAACCAAACCAACTTTCTCTCTTTGTAAGAAACAAGACAAGCAAAAGAAACAATGGGATGTTTTTCGTTTACTTTTGTGTTTTGGTTTTTGGTCTTGATTGCTGTTGTTGTTTAAGGAAATTGGAAGTGAGAAAAATATAGAAGAGCTGGAACAGCTTTTATCTTTGTTTTTTCTCTTTCTTTTTCTTTTCTTTTCTTTTCCTTCTTTGGAGGCTCAAGTTGGTTGAATGTAAGCGTGGGTGGAGTGTGCAGAGGAGCAAAATTAAAAACTTTAAAAAATGGAAAATGGACGGCGGTTGTGAATTTTGATGAGAGGTGAGAAGGGAACAAAATCACGTTGTTGCCCTTTGTATGTGTTTGGAATTTCAGTTGAGGAGCGTTGTAAGGGAGAGTTAGGGGTAACTATGGAGTAGCTAGTAACCTGTTTCTCTTATCACGCTTTTTGTTTAGGGTAAATGAATGGGTCAAGTCCATGTAACTAATTTCAACTACTTTTCTTTTGCTTTGTTTTTATTTGGGTTTAAAACTTTTGAAAAAAAAAAAGAGTTATTCTTACCTGTTAGTAAGATCGAAATATAAATTCATATTATTATTTGGATAAATGAACGTATCATCAAAATTGATATTTAAAATTTATAAATTTGAGAAAATTTAGACATATAATATTTTTTTAATTAGGTATAAAGTTGAGTAAAGGGAATTGAAGGGTAGATAAAAAATTTTGAAAAAAAAATTAAACTATAGATTTCAAATACAAAAGTTTAGATAAATTTGATATTTAATTCAATTAATTCATATAATTTATAGAGTTAATGTTCTAAATAATTCTTAAATTATAATAAAATTTTTAAAGTAATATTTAAATTATGAATTTATTAATTAATATGGTACTAAAAAAATTGTTTACACATTATGTGTCATCATTTGAAAATATTTATATTAAAAGTGAATATTATATTAATCAATTGATTTATAATTCAAGTATTATATTATAAATTTTTAAATTTAAATATCATATTAAACATTTAACTATAGCTTATGAAACATTCATAACATTAATCTTTATTTATGAAAGTAATATTTAGCAAATTTGTTATTCAAATTACAATATTTATAATCTCTTCTTTTATCTTAAAATTATAATCTTCCTTGTAAAAAAATAAATGTAAGAGTTTTGATTTTATGGCATCAATTCATAGTAATTGTTAATAATATTCAGATCTAATAATTTGAAATGTGATATGTAACATAATACGAAAATAATATGAATAAATGACACAAAAATAATATGATTTAAAATTAAAAAAAATCATAAATAGATTTAATAAAATCAAAAAATTATATTTTATGTTTTCGTATTGACATAAACTGTAACACGTAATTTCGTGTAAAATACAACACAAATATAATATTTTATACAACACGATTACATGAATTGTCAAGTCTAATAAATTTAACGTATCTTAATTACAACTCCATAATTTTATGAACCTAATTTCATGAAAGATTGTAATTAAATCATATAAAAATTTCATGAATTTTTATAAAGCCTAAGTTTATGAGATCAAAATTTTAAATATAACTATGTGATATGAAATTTATATAAAATAATGTGTATTTTGATATATAGGTAAAGAGATTTTTAATTGGCTATAATTATAAAGATTAATTTGTTTACTTTCATAAGAATGTTTGTAATTTTGAAAATTTTGTGAAACACCTTCTTGGTTTTTTTTATTTTCAAAATGATTAGAATGTTGATGCAAGTTAAGAAAGTTTTTGGTGAGAAAAATTTTATTTGGATTTGAGATAATTTGATTATCATTGTGTAATTAGGCTAACAAAAGTGAATGCAATAATGGGATAATGGTGAAAGTAAATATCATCATGATTTGATTTTGTTAATTGTGATTATAATATAAGCACAAAAAAAAACAACTTATCACTCTTTCACTAAAGTAGACTATGAATAGAAATTCATGGTTAACTTTTTTTGGCGGAAAATTAGGATTGTGTTAAACAAAATATTACTATTTTTTTCTTTTACCTCAAAAATCACTGTTTTTGTTTTTTATGAAAACAAACTTTAACCCAATATCTTTGGCCTTTTGTAAAATGGATTTGGATTATGATTAGCATTTGAAACTGTCCTTAACAACAGTAAAAATGAGTTCAAAAAATATATACCAGCTTAAGCTTTTGGCTTTTTTTTTGTTCAAGTAAAAATTTTAAAAAACGTTTTACTGAAAGGTTTTAATTTAATTTCATAAAATTATGTTATGTGTCAAATACAATTATCAATGAATTTATAATTGAGATTTTACAAGAGAATATTTGTCAAGGAGTGTTTTTTTTCATAATATGATAAAAAAATATTCAAGTGTTACTTGAATTTAATTTTTTTATATATTGTAAGAACATATTTTGTAAATTAATTCGTTGCATTCAAGATTTTATTTATTTTTTTTTTTACAAAATTGAATCATAATTGATAAAAAAATCTTTTTTACCAATTAAATTAATTCTTAATTAAAAATGAAATTCAAAAGCCATGCTCTTGTATTTATAGGTGTTCATAATTCGATTATAATCGAATTAGTCTGATCAAACTTAATTATTTATATTAATTGATTGATTATTGAATTAATTTTAATTTATTATTAAAAATAATTTCTAAAAAATTTCAATTTTTGGTTAATTTAATTTAAATTTTGAATCAATTAAAATATTATAAAATTTATATATAAAACTAAAATATATAAAGTTGTTTATTTCATTTTATATTAGAGTTTTTAATTTAATATTTGAATATTTTTATTGAATGATTTTATTTGATTTATTTCACATATAAAAAAATAAGAATTTAAATTATAATTTAATTTAATATATATTATTATTTAATTAATTAAAAAAATTAATCAAATCGATCAAATTAATTTTAATAAATTAATTTTAAAATTAAATTTCAATTTAATAAATAAAAATAATTTAATTTTAAATAATTTAATTTAAAATTAATCGAAAGAACATCTCTACTTATACCATGAGAATTAGACTAATTAGTCACCTAAAAATGAAGTGAAAAAAGGTTTATCTTATTTTATTTTACCATCAATCACCAAAATTTTGTTGTTAGAAATTATTTAATATGTTTATTTAATATTATTATAAAAAATTAAATAAAAAGGGTTAGTAACCTGAAAGAGCATGGGATGGCAGAGAATCTTTACTGGTCAAAAGTGATAGGAGATGAGGTGATGTTCTGAAGATCGGATTTGGATTAATTTTTTTATTTTGTCAGAATTGCAAGGACATAACTTATTACAGTACTCATTAATCTTTTGTACGGCTTCAGATTAAAAAATATAACTCATTCACTTGAGCACCCACCCCTTACTTTCTTGCTTTCATCATTTTTGCCCGCTTCCTAGCTTGCCTCCTAATTGAGTAAATTTAATAATTTAAAATATAATATGATAATAATATTATTTAAAATTTTAATAAAAATTATATATAAATTTAATAAAATTAAAAATATATATTTTATATTTTTATATCAATATAAATTTTAATAAATAATTTTTATATAAAATATAAAAATTATTAATATTTATATAATATAAATATTCGAATTATCAAACTTATAACCAAAGCATTTCAATACTTAAAATTACTCCCTTCTCTCTTTTTTCATCATTTTGGCATTCATTACCAATTACTATTTTTACATTTAAAAATTTATTAAAATTTAAATTTTGATCCCTAAACTTTTAGTTTAATTATTAAAGACATTTAAAAAAATATTAAAGATTTGATTTTAAATTTTTTTTTAATTTGTATTAAAACTTTATTCTCTTAATGTAATAAAAAATTTAAATTTTGATTATTAATTTTTTTAATAACAAATATAGTAACTTCATTAAATCAAAGTAGTATCCAAATTACAAATGTTTCCAAGTAGGTGACTCCAAACATTAACCTGGCCTTCTATGCATTCTAGTCTAACAACATAATGAGATAACCTATTTACTGATCTTCTTCCATGGGTGAACAAACAGTTCCTTAATTGTGATGACATTCTAAGTACCTCCATAGTCAAGGCAGTTCCTTCTCAGTAAGACGCACCAACTTTGTGAATTTCCTGTATTACCGACGCAGCATCTGATTCGACTTCAACTTCCATAAAATCATTTCCCCATGCAATTTATAGGCCAAGCAAAACCGCTTTCATTTCAGCCACCATAGAGCTTTATCTTTTTAAAAATACCATAGAGAATCAAATATAAAATCTAAACTCGAATTGTAGTGATCGTGTATGATGTTTGTAAAATGAATATTATACGAGAACACTATAGATTC